CATTGTTCCAAGGCTGCCAGGGCAAGAACACACACAGCCAGTCACCTTCGCAAGATGGGTTGATTGTTCTTCAAGATTAGACCGAGTTGCCTTATTATCCGTCCCAGACAACGTGGCATCTCACCCAAACAGACACATTTTCAGAAACTGCCTGTACACAGGCCAGATCTGAATTGCTAATGTATAATCTGCCTGGCACAGATGTGCAATGAATATTTGGATGTTGTTTTGCCCGTCAGTCCAGGAGGCTGCATTGATGAGGTGATGAGTATTCAGTGATGGGTCCTGGACGTTGGCCAACAGCAGAGTTTGAGCACTTGCGCTGACGATAATCAGATTACCCCCCAAAGTGCCTTCGCTGTAATTCAGTGGCAAATTCTGTGACAGGAACTGTAGGGTGGAAAAGTCCCTTTCCTTTTTGATGCAATGATGACTTATGTTTTCCAGATTTGGGAAAGGTAGAGAAGTTGCCTTTATTGTGCCCTTACCTGCCAGCTCCTAAGGCTGTGAGTTATGTGGCGCTGACTCCTTGGGTTTGAATTTGCCATTTTCTAGCTTATTTTATTAAGCTCTTGGTGCCTCTGTTTTCTCATGTGTTTAAATGGATTGAAAAATTCTATCAACCATACAGAGCTGCTGCGGGGATCCAATGAGTTGATATAAGTCCCAGCAAATGTTAACTATTGCCATATCATTGGTCATCTGCTTTCTTTCAATATTACTCTGGTCAAATAGGTTGGATATCCTGGGAATAAAGTTAAGGCCTCTCCATTACCTCTGGATGTCACATGGCCTGTACTATGCTACAGGTCTGTTTCCGGTTGTAGCGAACATTTCCAGTACTTATATGACCATGAAGCTTTTTTCCTGAAGCATCTTTCACAGCCTACTTTCCCAAGAACATACTATAGGACAAGCTGCCCTCACAGGTGATACACAACATTTACAAAGCTTTGAAAGAAAAACATGGGATTCAAGAATTTGATATACAATCATTATATTTACATATAAAGGCAACAGGGATTAATCATGCACATGCATATGTTCTCCCTGAAAAAAAAATGTTACTCAAAAAATGTTTCTCTGTTTATTAGACAACTCCCATCCCCAAGAATTAGTCAAAATTGAAACATGGGTGAAATGTGATTATTCAAATGTGAACAAAAAGAAAGGTCTGGGAATATTAATATCAGGCAATGTAGAATTATACAAGTAAGCTGGTAACTATTTCATTTCTTTATCCCCAGTCAAATGCACAAGGTAGATTCTAAATAGTTACAGCAAGATTTATTGTGGAAGGGGACGCAATGGGTTAAAGGTATGTGGGAAGGGATGGCTTGTCTGCCAGGGCCCCTTGGGTGAAGTTCTTAAGGGATCTCTACTTTGAATACTGGAGAGGAGACCTACTCTATCTGCCTAAGTCACCTTCTTCTGGGAACTGCTTCCTCTTCCTTCCTCTGTGCACCGGGCTCCTTTCTCCCAGCTAAAGGATTGCTGGGGCCATGGGATCCTGGGTCCAATGCAGTCGATGGGAGTTGACCTGGGTCAGGGAAACCACACTACCTTCCCCCTTGGCTTGCTTCATTAATTTAAGAGGAGACATCAGAATCTTCACTTTTGTCTTTTCAAACTCTGGAAAAGTGGGCTGGTTCCTCTTATAGGCAGTGAGATGGAGGTCTCGGTTGCTACTGGTTGCCATGTTCCCTGGCAAGAGGAAGAAACTCATCTACAATGAAGTTTTATATAAAAACATGCTGCTCTGGTGGCTTTTGGATTTCTGGTACCATTGGAACCTCAAGACTAGCCATAGCCCTGCACCCACCTGGCGCAGTTATGAACCTTTTCCTTGCATGGCAAGATCTATTCCTATAGCTTCCTAAGCATTTTCTTTTTCTGCCTTTTTCTCGTTTACAGTTATAAACTGTACTAGTCAGAAACCCAGCTCTAGCTTGCAACCAAGAGTCCTGACTTATACAGTCACTTGTTAAAAAATTTAAATAATGGTACATACATCCTGACATATGATACTGTATTCCTCTATTATATTGATAAATCAGGTTTCCTGGTTCCACATGCAAAGGGAGCATACAGTTTGGCTGAAAGGAAGCTGATCAACATGGTACTTTGGTTTGAAAATAACATAATCAGTTAGTGATTTTTTAAAATTGCTTTTTTTTTCTGTACTGCTAGGCAATTTTGTCATATGTCATATGCCTACTTTTTTTTCTATTGTTTTTAAAATTTGCTTTTTAAAATGTTAAATATTTGCTTTTAGAATATAAAGTCAATTATTTTTTTGTCTAGGCTGCTTATAGTAGCAAAAAGTTGGAGTAATCTAAATATATAATAATAAAAGATTAATTAGGACACATTGTACATCCCAAGTAGGGCAATAGTTGGAAACACAAATGTACAAAGCTATGTTGTAAAAATGTACGTGACCAATAGGATTACTTTATACTTTTTCTATGTTCATTTTTTTTCTTATGAGAAAACCATCTACTAGAATATAAAAATATACAAGCAAACAAAAGAAAAATTTAATCCATACTTATCATCACACTCACCTTTTAAGACTTAAAAGACTTTTTAAAAAATTTTATTTTTATTGATTTCAGAGAGGAAGGGAGAGGGAGAGAGAGAGATAGAAACACCAATGATGAGAGAGAATCATTGATCGGCTGCCTCCTGCACATCCCCTACTGGGGATCGAGCCCACAACCCAGGCATGTGCCCTTGACAGGAATCGAACCTGGGACCCTTCAGTCCACAGGCCGACACTCTAGCCACAGAGCCAAACCAGCCAGGGCAAGACTTAAAAGACTTAAATAAACTTTTATAATCACTGTTACCACCTGGTTATACATTCTTATAAACTTTTATAATTATATAGTCATATATACTTTGACATTTGTTCATTTAAAAAACCTTTTATTTCCTATAAAAATGGGACTACATCACATGTGCTTTTTTAAAAAACCTCAATTGTATGAGGTATAATTTACATATAATAATGTGCACTCATTTTAAGCATCATTTCATGAATTCTGACAAATTTTACAGCATTATAACCACCACCATGATAAAGATATAAAACATTTCCATCATCCAAAAAAAAATTCCTTTGTGTTCTTTCCTGACTAGGCAAAGAACAGGCAATGATCTGCCTTCTGTTGCTATAGATTAGGTATTTTTTCTCTAAAGTTTCATATTAATGGGATCATACAATATGAACTCTTTTGTTTCTGTCACTCAGTATTTTTGAGACTCATCCATGTCACTGTGCTTGTCAGTAGTTCATTCCTTTTTATTGCAGAGTGATCCATTGTATGAATATACCACACTGTATTTATTCATTCCAGCACTATTTCTTGAAAAGACTCTCTTTTCCCTATTGAATTATCTCAGTACCTTTGGCAATAATCAATTGACTATATATGTGCAGATCTATTTTAGGACTCTCTGTTAGCTGGGTCTATTTGTTTATCTTTACTTCAGTCTCACGGTCTTGACAGTTGGGAAAACTCCTGATACTGCGTTAAGCACTGAGAGGGAAATACACCTTATTGAGGTTGTTTATACCATCCACTTGTTTCCCCGTGGTGTGACTTTCCCTCGCTGGGGTGGCAACAGACTGGGGCAATTCATCCAGGCCTGTGGAAGGCTGCCTTCATCTCTCACAAGTTTATGATACTCTAAGTTTACAAATCAGCTTCACACCCTTTGTCTCCATCATTCATATACTGATTCAGTGCCTCTCCTGCACTCTATTTGTCCTTTCTTCACAAACACCCTGTGGGGTGGGCTACTTAGACCTGATTATACCCATTTGACAGATAAGGAAATTTACACTTTAGGATTATCACCATCAGGTAATAATCCAACATCAGGACACCTTCTCAAAAATTGGAATTCTAGGCAAATAACACAGAAAACCAAAGGCCAATCTGAGTTCATCATCATAGCAGACTGTTCTAAGTCTGCCTGATGACTTCTTGGGAGAGTGGCAGGCCAGAGAGGTCACACCTGTGCTACACTAGTGCCCCTATAAAACCTCAACAGATACACACACACACACACACACACACCTTTTCTAGACTATATTTGTCTTAAATGACATCTGTGGCTGGCCTGGGATAGCGCTTCCTGCAAGATATTTTAGCATTTGCTTGTGGTCATATTTCTGGGTAACAAGGCCAGGTCAACCTTACTGTGAGCCCCACCCAATCCCCAGTCCTCTTGTTAAGGATAGAGAGCTAGAGCATGACTGTACTTTCTGGCTTGGATTCTTTCAAATACTCAAAATCTTTTTGAGTTAAGTTTGAATTTCTGCTTCATGCAAGTAAATGATGCTGGTAACTCTACTAAGACTTTCAAAGACCCAATATCTGCTACAGGGAGGACAGGCAATATGGCCTCATGCAGTGATTCTTAAGGGGCTGGAATAGAGCAGTGGGCGCAGGACATTAGATCTTTTAGGACCAGAGGATTAATTTGAAGACAGAAGAACATCTTGTCCCCTCACTTTGATATGACTCAGAATTCTGTATTAATTTTTAATTTCATAAAGTATTAAAGGACATTTATGGTATTAAAGGGGTGCAGTGAGAGATGCTGGTACACGCAGGCCTGGATGGACCAGGTAACCATGGGCTGAATCCTGGCTCACTCGCTTTTCAGTTGTGTGCTCTTGGGCAAGATCACTTCCACTCTGGGAGGTGGGTGGAGGGTCAAGGTAAGCTCCATAGCAGTGGCATGAGGCAAGCCTTGAAGGGTAAAAAGCATTTGTGCCTCACACTTAGGAGTACTTACTTAATACGACACAAATATTAACAGAGCTGATGAACCAGTTGGCATTAAAAAATAAACCCTAAGCACTACATGCGTGACAACAATCCGTCTTCACTTCAACATCCAGTTTACTCTTCGTTTCTGACTTCAGGCTTGGCTGTCATATCTACGTATGGATCACAGAAGCCAAAATTTAATATTGTACCATCTTTTCCTATGATAAACATCTTTTATTGACTTGTCTCAGTGTGCAAGAATATGTTTTGTACAAAACATACAGAGCATCCTTGCTATGGGACCAGGCAAAGTTATGGCTAACCAACATTTCCCAAGAGGACAGGGAACAGGTGCACTGATTCTGGGAACTACAGTGACCCTGTTCTCAATATGTATGAAGCCAAATTCTTCAACTTTGACGATGACACACAAACTGTCAAAAATAATTAAGGCACAATATGACTCAAAATTTATACTCAGAGCAGCAATAATCTAGAGAAAATATAATTAACACATGGAATCGTATCACATTTTAATTAACACTGATAAGACAGAATTATTATAGCATAAAAGATTGGTTTATGAAACAGGAAGGTGTGGTGTATAGGAAGATGGCTCAGATTAAAAAATCAAATGTGTTCAAAAAACAACTCTTCGGCACTAGATTCTAGGTTTCTTTTATGGTTCCAAAACTGGATCTACATTCTATATAATAATGAATGTAGCAAAAAGACCTTTAATATATCCGATTATACCAGCAGTTTGGTGACATATTGGTAGAGCTGTTCTGTAAATGCTTCAGAGGAAAACTTTTCCTTCACCCTGGCTCTGCCAGCCAGTCCCATTGTGACTTTTAAGGAAGGTTCATGGATGAACTTTTCTATTGCTTCTGAGAATTGCACGGGGTCAGGCTCACACAGAAACCCTGTGACACTGTGGACAATGGACTCCAAGGGCCCACCTGAATTAACAGCAACGACTGGGCACTGCATGTACATGGCCTCCACAGGGACAATGCCAAAGTGTTCATTGCTTGGTGTGTAAATCACACATGTGCAGCCGTGGAGGAGGGAGATTTTCTGTTTGTCCGAGAAAGACCGCAGGAAGGTCACAGACTGGTCAAGGTCAAACTGCTGGGCCATTTTCTTCAGTTCCTGATAGTGTTCCACATTCTCCAGGACTCTCTCGTCATAACCACCAGCCATAATCAGATGAACCCTGTCCCAGTCTTGGGATGTCAGTCTTCCACGCAGCTTTACTAGGGCTTCCAGCGCCAAAGGCAGGTTTTTCTTCCTTTCGTATCTGTTGATGGAGAGGAACAGGAATTTTTTTCCCTCGGGGACTAGATCATCAAGCTTTTCAGGGACGGCTGAGTCAAAGCTGGTAACATTCAGAGATGGGTAGAGGACATCGGGGTCTCTGTGAGACAGGGACTTAAACGTTTTCTTAAATATGGCAGCTGTGAACTGACTGTTGACCAAGATGCAGTCAGCCATACCTGTGGTGTATTCTTCTACCCAGTCAATCGGGGCCCTGTATAGACGTTTAAGAAAAGAATCCCTCTTGGTAAGAAGCAGATCAGGGAAGTGACAATAAAACAAGATCTTCTTACGCCGTCTGGCCAGCTTGAACACTGGGATACAGGCAGACACCTAGCCAAAGCAAAGATCAAAAACAGGTAAAGTAACTGGTCAACTAAACTTCAAGTAAATCAAAAGAACAGACACATGCTGCCTACTAGTCTGAGGGCTCCTCGTGGGCAATGTCTCATTCTGCTTTGTGTTGCTACAGACTCTCATCCAGTCCAACACCTGGTGTATTAAAGGCTGGTTGACATTTTCTGGACGTGTGCTAAATATTTAAAGCTGCAAGTTGAGCCTTTTCTCTAGGATAAGCAGTCCAATGAAAATGGAAAGCTAATAACCACATTAAAATTTTTAATGGGTTAAATAAATGTTAATATATTTTATCTAAAATACCACCATTGAAAATGTAATCAATACTATAATAGTTAATGGGATACTTTACACTTTTTTCCCACATTAAATCTTTAAAATCACGTGTGTGTTTTACACTGACAGCACACCTCAGTTCAGACTAGCCACATTTCAAGTGCTCAATAGCCACCTGTGGCTAGTGGCTACCATACCGGACAGAACAGCTCTAGTATATTTCGCCTTCTAAGACACTGAATGAACTACAGGAGTTCACAGTGCAGTCTCTGGAATCAAGATTGCCAGGGTTTGAATCTCAGTCCCACTAGCTAGGTGTGTGACCATGATCAAGTAATCTACCTCTCTGGGCCTCAGTTTCCTCTTCTGTAACATGGTGGCAATTATGGTTACCAAAAAAACCCATCTATACTAATAATAGAGGAATATGCAAATTGGCCGGGATGCCGTCACATAGCAACCAATCAGGACGGGGCGGGGCCGCGGCGGAGAGCTCTCAGCACACCTGCACAGGGGGTCCGAAAGGCGGGGAGAGGAGGGGAGAGTAGATAGGCAGTTAGGGGGAGCAGGCCAGGAGAGGAGAGCAGATAGGCAGTTAGGGGGAGCAGGCCAGGAGGGAAGTGCAGATAGACAGGGCAATCAGGCCAGGAGGGGTGCGCAGACAGGTAGTTAGGGCGACCAGGCCAGGAGGGGAGAGCAGGTAGGCAGTTAGGGGGATAAGGCCAGGAGGGGAGAGCAGATAGGCAGTTAAGGCGACCAGGCCAGGAGGGGAGAGCAGATAGGCAGGTAGGGCGATCAGGCTGGCAGCAGAGAGCAGTTAGGGCCACGAAGCTGGCAGGGGAGCAGTTAGGGGCATTAGGCAGGTGAGCAGTTAGGAGCCAGTGGTTCCAGATTGCAAGAGGGATCCCGGGTTGGAGAGGGTGCAGGCTGGGCTGAGGGGCTCCCTCCCTGCCCCTGTGCACAAATTTCATGCACCGGACCTAGTGTTTTTTATAATTACTAAACGAAATGGGATATGTAAAACGCTTAGGAATTTAGCATGTAGTATGTCAGCAGTTCTCAACATGTGGGTCGTGAGCCCTTTGGCGGTCGAACGACCCTTTCACAGGGGTCGCCTAAGACCATCCTGCATATCAGATATTTACATTACGATTCATAACAGTAGCAACATTACAGTTATGAAGTAGCAATGAAAATAATTTTATGGTTGGGTCACAACATGAGAAACTGTATTTAAAGGGCCAGAAGGTTGAGAACCACTGTAGTATGTGCTCAATAAATATTAACCATAATCATTACTGAGCATGAACTATAGGCTGGCATTACTAGACTTTCCTGTTGGATAATCTTACAAATCACTTAATCTCCAGCTCACTTATCACTGGTAAGTGAGCTTTCCAAAGCTACTTAGTTAGAAAATAGCAGATGAATGGAACTTGAATCCAGGCCTCTTACTTCCAAGCTCAGTTTTTTCTCTATCTGCTGCAGTCTAAGCTGCCTCATGCTTATTAACTAGTTAGACATGCAGGATGTTTGGAAAATGTCCACATTTCTCAAAAAGAAGTATCTTCCATACAAGTAAGGATGATCAAAAGTAACTCAAGAGTTATAAAGAAACACAAGTACAAATGTAATGCTGTTTCCCCTATCAGTGTGGCAAAGATTAAAATGGCTGATAACATCCAACATGCACCAGAACATGAAGCAAAATGCTCTGTCGTTCATGTGGGAGAGTAAAGTGACACAACCTCTTTGGAAGGCAAGTTTGACAATAGCTATTGACATTTACAATGAACAACTCTTAGACCTATTAATTTTATTTCTGGGAAGTTATTCAAAGGATATACTTGCAGAAGTACAAAAAGAAGGTACAAGGATGTTCATTACAAAACTGATCTATTCACAAAAACACCCACAATGAGTGTCCTTTAACAGAAGAATATATAAATTACCTGTACATTTAAAAAAAAAGATTTTCCAACCACTATGAAGAATTAAGTGAATCTCTAATATTGATATATAAGGATGTTCCAAATAGAATTTTTTTTGGAAAAAAAACAAGTTGTCTAATAGTAGGTATGTAATAATCCTAATTATTACAAACTAGAGGCCCGATGCACAAAGTTCATGCAAGAATAGGCCTTCCTTCCCCCTGGCTGCCGGCACCGGCCTCCCTCTGGCACCCAGGACCCGGGCTTCCCTCCGGCCGCTGGCAGGCACCCGGACCCAGCCCCGGAAGGTCGTTTGGTCTAATTAGCATATTACACTTTTATTATTATAGATAAAATTTACATATCTTAACAGACACACATATGGTGGTGTAGCCATAGACAATTTCTGTAAGGACATAGGAGAAACTGTTTAACAGTGGCTATTTTTAGGGAGAGGAACTGGAATGGGACTTTAATTATATTATACTCTTTTATACTACTTGAGGTTTTATTACTTTTTAAAATAAATATTATGTTTTGGGGGCGGGGCGTGAGTGGGAGGAAGACAAGGAGTTTAGAATAGTTAGACTCCACATCCAGGTGGGCATTCTGTACCAAGTGAGAGCATTTGTGCTTTTCTATGAAGACTAATGGAGAGCCACGTTAAAGTTCTAACGGGGCGTGACATGTTCGGCTTGGTGTTTTAACATGACCTGGCTGCAAAGGCTAGGACAGGGTGATGCGCATAGCCTAGAAACAGTGTCAACAGAAATAACGCAAAGAGTTACTCCAAAGTAAACAGTGACTGAAGGCTGACTCCCAATGCTTGTGTTTCTTAAAGCGAGCTGGGCCCCAGGCCCATCCGCTCCGAATCACCGATGTGCCAGTGAAAAATGCAGATTTCGGGGCCCCATCTCGGGGCTCCTGAATGAAACTTCTCAGGGCGGGGCCCTGTCATGTGAAGTTCGAGAACTACAGTCACTCCCAGCTCTGATCTCCCTAGGTCAGGTGCAGTGTTTCGGAACCGCAGACCCGGAGAGGTCCAGAGGGCATGGGGGCGTGGCGAGGGCCCGGCGTGGTCACCTCACCTGGTCGCACACGACCACGTCGAACACCTCGTCGCCGAGGAACAGCACGTAGAGCGCCAGGAAGATCATGCGCACGTAGGCACAGACCGCGGCGCCGCGGCCGCCCCAGCCCAGGCTGCGCGGCAGCCAGTCCCCGGCGCAGCGGACCGGCAGTTCGCGACTCTCGGCGAAGCAGTGGCCCGGGTCGTAGTGCGCCGTCCAGATCGTCACGCTACATCCGCGCGCCTGCAGTGCCAGCGCCGCGTCCAGCACCAGCCGCTCGGCGCCGCCCACGCCCAGGTCTGGGTGCAGAAACAGCACGGACGGGTTGGGAGCCAACTCATCCCCAGCCCGCTCCTCTGCCATGGCCCGGGTGTCCCGCACCCTTAGGCACCGGCGCGCCTGCTCCTTCCTAGGGCACCCGGGGGCCTCAGCGGGGCTGACCACGCCCCGCGGCGCGCTCGTAGGTTAGGCCACATCAGCGCACGTCTGTGGGTGCCCAGTGAACCGCCGGAGGAAATTTCTCTTCTGGCCATGGCTATATCCGCCCTTTGGTACGAATTGGACTCCAAGAAGGATGCTGTGATCTAAAGGAGGAAGACGGAAGATAGGTACATCCTACACAGCAGCGGACGAAGTCGCCGGTAGCAACATTTCTACAGGCAGATGGAAGGACAGCCCTGGCGTCCTTGGAGTCCGAGGCCCTGCCAGCAGGTCTGGGGGCGGGGACGGAACCAGTGTCTCCAGCCGCCGGTCCAGTGGCTTCGCTGCTTCCTTGCCGTCTGCTTCGGGCCCCTGCCACCTCCAGTTTCCAGAATGGTATGGTGACCCCAGCCGTCCCTCCTTAGTCCCCACCTCTCCCAGGCGCCCCGACTTCTGCCTTGCGCCTTGCCCTCCTTCCGCGGCTCCCCTGCTTCCCCACCCTCCAGTGCGGGTGCCGGTCGTGGCTGTCGGGGCCTGGGGCCTGGGGCCTGGGGGCCGGCGCTCACCTGTCTGTCTCCTTGTCGCCCTCCGCAGCCTGGCCCGACCCCCAGTGGCACCAACGTGGGCTCCTCAGGACGCTCCCCGAGTAAAGCGGTGGCCGCCCGGGCGGCGGGTAGCACGGTCCGGCAGAGGTAAGGATCCCGGGGACCCCCTTGGCTGTGGGCCGGGAGGAAGGGGCCCAAGAACCCGCTGGTCCTGAGAAGGTCACCCAGAATGTTACGGTTCACGAAGACAAAGCGAGCCCCCGGTGACGTGGCCGTGGGAGCAGCGGCCTTTGGGTCTTTGTGTCTAGAGAGGGAGGTGACATTTTATTCTCATTGCACAGTTAAACAGGGATAGAGACAACGTGGAGAAAACGGGTGTCATTGAACTGACTCTGGACCTGAGCTGTGCACTCACATTTCCGTCAGTTTAACAGGATTTGTCCAACTCATTGTCCCCGACCGTCCCAGCCCCCACCCCCCAGGCGCGTTGCTTAACTTACCGGTACATGTGGCTCTGCCTTCACCCAGAGCCAGAACTTCAGCGTCATCGTGGGTTTTTTCTTAGGCTCTGTCCCTGTCCAGTCATTTGTCGGACTTTAAATTAGACGCAAAAACCTGCTGCTCATCACTTCTTTGCGTCTCTCTTCCTACCGCCCCGATTTAGCCGTCAGCTTCTCGTCTAGACTTTTTCATTTTCTACTCTTCTACCCTCCAGGCCCTTCCACTCCAGTCCCTCGTGTGCTCTGCTTCTGTCACTCTTCTGCTTAGTTTCTCTGTTAGTTGCTTTTTGCTGAACTTTAAAAACAGGGTGAGGGGGGCGGATAGCGAGGTTCTTGGTGACTTCCCCCCCCCCCCCCCCCGTCCATCAGCTTTCCTTCTCCCTGGGTCCTGGGATCCAGCAATAGTCAACTTATTACTGTTTTCTGAACCTCCCTTCCTCTCCCCACACACAGCTTCTGTTTATTCTCCTAGGACTAAGCTCAGAGGTTTCCCTGACTCCAAAAGTAGCAGTAGCTGTTGCTCCTCCCTTTTGCTCCCAAAGCATTTCGTTCATATCGTGGTAATAACATTTGCTCCATATTAAACTTTGAAAGAAACTGCCCCAGTTCAATCTATTCTATGTGAGACGTTACACAATAAATGATGAAGGAAGGAATCAAGCAACCCTGTTGTCTTCAGATATTCGAAGGAGCTAGTGGGGTTTTATGTAGAGAGGGAAACACCTTGAAGGGATACAAGAAAATGATTCATAAGGATGTGAAGAGTGACGAGATTTTTCTTGTTGGCTGTAGTAGGTACATGTAAAACTAATAATGTGAACTTAGCAGAGACGGATTTCAGCTCATTGAAAGTTCTGATATCACTGTGATGTTTCTCTCTTTTTTTTTTTTAAAATATATTTTATTGATTTTTTATTGATTTTTTACAGAGAGGAAGGGAGAGAGATAGAGAGTTAGAAACATCGATGAGAGAGAAACATCGATCAGCTGCCTCCCGCACATCTTCCACTGGGGATGTGCCCGCAACCCAGGCACATGCCCCCGACCGGAATCGAACCTGGGACCCTTCAGTCCGTAGGCCGACGCTCCATCCACTGAGCCAAACCGGCTTCGGCTGTGATGTTTCTCTTGAAATTATCGTTGTTTTCTTTGGATTACAAAATCCGTATTATTAACTGGTTAATCCGCACTGTTAACCAGTTAATAGTTAATCTGAATTATTAACCGGTTACGCATTAACCCTAATAATGCGGATTTTGTAATCAAAGAAAACACGATAATTTCAAGAGAAACATAAAAAATGCTTTTTATTGAAAGTAATGTCCATTGCTAGCTACACATTTCCCCCATCTTTCAGGTAATTTGTGGATACCGTCCCAATAGAACTTTTCTTGTTTTGAGGCAGACCATTCAGAGACCCAATTTTCCACTTCTTCCCACGTTTTGAAGTGCTGCTCAGAAAGTGCGTGGGCCATCGATTGGGACAAGTGGTAACCTGAAGGAGCAATACAACAAAATAGCATACATATCAAATCGCATATGTATGAACATCTGTGTAACTCCATCTATTGAAAAAATCCGCATTATTAACCGGTACACCTAGTAAAGAGATGGTAGGGATAAGGTTTTCACTTCTGTTTTCTCCCTCTGTGGGAGATCGTAAACAAGCTTTCCTTTTCAAAAATTTAGAATCAGTAGCCCACAGATAACTGGGATGGGATTTTAAGGAAGGGTGTGCTGGGATTTGGTTAATGATAGGGGCAGTAATGGGGCAGGCTTCCCCTCTCTTCCTTTCCTTCCCGAGGATTTCTTAGGAGTGGGCTGAAGAAGACGTCTTCTGACTTCTCATGCTTCCTGCTTACGCTCGCACTGTAGCACTCCAGCACGGGGAGAGGAGGAGTGGGGGAGCCGTGCTCGGTGGAAGGGGGTTGTTGGGTGGGCTTCCCCAGTGGCTGAGGAGAGGAGGGAAAAGGTTTCCCCCCTGTTGGTAGCAGTGCTTGTGTCAGTGCTGTCCAGCGCCTTCTGTATGCGAGGGCTGCCTCCATCACAGCTCATCTCACCAGCCTTGGTCTCCTGTGAAGGACAAGTTCTAGTTGGGCGTTTTCTCCATTTTTTCATATCCTACCTCTGTCCAAGATTTATGGCATATCAAAATAGTGAAAACAGACTACAAAATGATTTTTTTGGTAAAATATATGTTCCATTTTGGGACCTGGATTATAATTACAGCTTAATATTTTTGTCTCTTTCATAACAAATACAGTAATTTTAAAACATTTTAAGGTAATTTAAGTCAGATTACAGTTGACCCTTGAACAACATGGATGTTAGGGACATTCCCTTTTCCCCTGCAGTCAAAAATCCACGTATAATTTTGACTCCCCCAAAAACTTAACTACTAATAATAGCTTACTGTTGGCCGGAAGCCTTATTGATAACATAAACAGCTGATTAACACATATTTTGTATGTTGTTATGTTATATACTGTATTCTTACAATAAAGCAAGCTAGAAGAAAGAAAATATTATTTAAAAAAATCATAAAGAAGAGAAAATACATTTATGGTATTGGGGGAAAAACCTCGTGTAAGTGGATCCACACAGTACAGTTTAAACCCATGTTGTTCAAAGGTTGATTGTATGCAAATTCCGGACATTTTAGAGCAGAGGTTTGTTACTTGGCTTCACAAATATGCATGAGAAGAGAAACTGAAGTACATTGTCCAGATGAGGTGCCATATGGTTGGGCAAGAGGATGGGCTCTGGAGTCAGAACTGGGTCCTCAGCTCAGCTCGGCCACCTGCTGGCCGTGTGGTCTTAGGTAGGCACTTGGCTTACCCTTTTCTGAGCCTCATTTTCCTCTTATAAAACAGAACTGGTAACTGCTTTCCAGAGTTAGTGTGTGCATTAGCATGTGGCAGGTACTCAGTTCATGGTAGTTATCATGACCCGTGGGGTGAAAACAAGAATTAGGGGTGTGCTCACAAAAGAAAATGTTTTTTTTTTCTTCTTATTTTGGTTCTTTAACAGTGTAATGGTAGCATATGTTATAATGCCATTAAAAGGGTTCCCCCCAAAAAAGACTGTTTGTAACATTTTTTCTCTTAACAGGAAAAATGCCAGCTGTGGAACAAGGAGCGCGGGCCGCACGACCTCAGCAGGCACTGGGGGGATGTGGCGGTTCTACACGGAAGACTCCCCCGGCCTCAAAGTGTAAGTCTTGGGAGCAGACCTTGTGTTCCTGTCAGGCGTCACAGGCTGATGGGCAGCACTGTCTCTCCGCCACCAGTGGTGCTGGCTTTGATGAGTTTACAGTACACACAGCTTCGTTTGGGCAAGGTGGACCGGGTTTGGTTTGTCTGTATATCAACCAATTAGTTTAGGGCCTGGAATGATATCTCTTCATGGATTGCGTGAAAGCAAGGGAAAATCTTCATGTAGCTAAGCCAGAATAAACAATGGAAACAGAGAGAACTGGAGGAAAAACTGCTTAATTAGATGAAATTGTTATTTTTTGGTTGTCCGACACTGAGAAAGAGGAGTAACCCATTGAATATGAGTTGGGTGGTTTTTCAAAGCTTTCCTGGAACCATAAGCTGATATTATTGCAGCTAATAGACGTTTCTGCATTAGGCTGTGTTAACGAAAGTTCTTTGGCCTTTTTGCCTTTTGTGAGTGGTGAGTAGACCTTGGGGTGAACATAGCACTTTCCAAGTTCTTAAGGCCTGAGAGTGCTCATTAGGTGATGGGAAATGGGCACCTGGGGGACCCCTGTTCCATGCCTTGCTCACCTCACTTTCCAGGGTTTCTGGTACTGTGTGGCAGACCTAATCCCACAGGTTTCTGATCACGTAGGCCCTAGGACACCACTGCTTACAGCTGCTTCCTGACTCAGCCAGTGGATGAGGAATAGGAACACTGCAGGTTCAGAAGCTCAAGTTTAGAGAGGCAAAGTTACGTTCTAGCAAGAGCCGGAACCAGATAATCTAGAATGTTCAGTCCTGTGCTCCATATGTCTATCTGGTAGAAAAGAGACAATCCATATGTCTGTCTGGAAGAAAAGAGACAAAATTAGATTTATTTGGATTAGTTTAACTTGACCAGTAGCTTGGCTTGGATCACAAATTTAAAGACTGGTATGGTAAGGTGAGAATATATTCAGGAAGTACTTCTTGGGGTTGGGGATATATGAGTTGGCTGTATTCAGACAACCTTTTGGTCTTTGTTAAAGGTAATTTTTCTGAGTATTTCAGAGAGGATTATTGAAGCCCCTTGCTCTTTAGGGTATCCAGGAGACTCCTTGAAACCCTTCTTAAGAAGGTGGTAAAAGCTTTTCTCCTGTGGGTGATTCTGGCTTGTGCTGGCTCTGGGCTTTCTGCTATTGTGCAGCCAGGCTTACTTGTTGCTACTGCTTGAGTACTCCCAGGAATTGCTAGAAACTGTTCCTTGAAGTGTTGTAAAGTACAGTCTCATCCCACCAGAAAGATGGTAAAAGGACACAATTGGGAATTCGTATTCACAAATCCACATCTTGGAGCAGTCAAGTAACATCTTAGAGTTTGTTGGCTCTTGTAGGATTTTAGAATTTTTCTTTTTGAATAATAGTAGCATTTCTGGTGAGCTTATTATAAACTTGATAATCCATGTGTATTAACTTACTTAATACCTCAGTAACCGTATGAGAGAGGTACCGTGATTGTCCCTACTTTACAGATGAGGAAACAGGCTTGGAGAAGATAGGTAATAGGGCACAGTCACAACTCATAAAGGACGGAGTGGGTTTGCAAACTCTGGCACTTGGACTCTGAGAGCTCCACTCTCAGCTTTGTGCTCTATGGCTGATGATATGCGTTAAAATAGGGGCTGTGATTGAGTGCAGTATGGTAACATTCTCTTCCCATGTGTTTTTAAATTTGTTTACTCCTATAATTGTACAACTTTTGGAAGAACAAAATAGTGTAGCAAGGACATTGATCTCTGTGCATTGTTTATTGTTCACTAGTGGACTCTTACTCCACTGCCTTAAACAGTGAAGGTTGTCTAAGTAAATCTTACTTCGAAATAATAGTTTTATAATTGGATCATTTGTACTTAAAAAGTTTGGAGAAGTTTTTATTTTATTATGGGAAATACCAAATACATGAAATTAGAGAGACTAGTATCTCTAAGACATAAGATCATTTTACTTGTATAATTTTAGTATGTTTTACTAGAAAAGAAGGATTTCTCCTATCTAACTAACCACAATGCTGACGCCACACCTCTCCCCCCATCCCTTCCACTCTCTCTAGAAATCCATGGGAAAAATATCCTCACTCCTTGGGTGAGGATTAAAAAAAAGAAAAAAGAAAAAGGAATATGGTGATGTATTATTACTAAAAGTAAGCGTGCCTTTTCTTCTTTCTTTTCAGTGGCCCTGTTCCAGTATTGGTTATGAGTCTTCTGTTCATCGCTTCTGTATTTATGTTGCACATTTGGGGCAAGTACACTCGTTCATAGATTTGGCTACATCCATCTGTCATCTGAAGAAAGAGAAAAAAAATCAATATATCTTGGACCAAAAGCATAGTGATTTTCTGTTCATGAGAAAGAAATTTTCTGTAAGCTTACTGTTTTACAGGGAACTTAACGAGAATTGATTTTAAGGATCAATTTTTTTTCTATGGCTAATAAACTTTTTAATTCATTTATACCAAGTCTGATCCTTTAATCTCTCTGCCTTTCAATTACAAGTAAATATGTAGAAAACACGTCTTTTGGAGCTTGTTTTCTTTGTGGGATTGACAGGTCCTTACATGACCATGTAGTTCAAATCCAAGGTCCTGTAATTGGCCTTGGCTTGTTTTCTTCTAGGTATTTCTGTCCTGGTGATTGTCATTTTGGGCGTTCCGTGGTTTTTAAGGAGTGTGCCTATGACTGCCTCAGGCAGATCTATATTCAAAGGCAGCTGGTACCCAGGGGAATAGTCATAGAAATCAGAAATGTGTGCTTATTCTTTTCTTTGTCTCTAAAACCTACGAATTAAGAACTCTCTCCCAGTTTTATATTCTGTGAGTATAGATCAGGAGTTTCCATCTATCACTTGTCGCTAAACCTATTTTGAAGAATTCATTTAATAAGTTGGATTTTTCAAATAAAATTTTGTTTTCATTGTGAAAATTAAAGACTTCTCTAATCAGAGTGGATATCAGCATTTCCAAACTGAGTTGATATAATTCCAAACAAAAAATTAAAAAAATTGAAGTTTCACTTAGTTTATGTTGCCATTCTGGGAATAAGCATTCAGTTTCTGGTAGACCCTAGGAAATACCAAGAATAGCTTACAGGTGCATACTTCAGGAGTCTAGGATATAAGCCAGATTTTCTAAGGAGTAAGATATCCCTGTGAAATCCCCTTAGTTGTCCAGCAGAATCACAACATGATAAAGAGGTGTATTAGTGCCCTAGCTGGTTTGGCTCAGTGGATAGAGTATTGGCCTGCGGACTGAAAGGTCCTGGGCTCAATTCCAGTCAAGGGCATGTACCTTGGTTGCGGGCACATACCCAGTAGGGAATGTGCATGAGGCAGCTGATCGATGTTTCTCTCTCATTGATGTTTCTAACTCTCTATCCCCTCTCCCTTCATCTCTGTAAAAAATCAATTAAAAAAAAAAAAAGGTGTATTAGTTAAGAATCAGATAATTTTAACAATGACTTTCTCATAAATGAAGCTTTAAAAAGAACTCCTAGAACAGTTAAGCTGTTTTATAAGTGTTTTTCTTAACTTCTGGCTATAAAGTCAATTTAGGTCCAGAATACCAAATTAAATGTTGAAAGTATATATCTTTAAAAAAGATTTCTTAGGGCAATATATGGGTAAGCATGCTCTTGTCAATACTAAAAAATGGGAAATTATTGGGAGAAAATAATGAAAAATTGGTCCTCTGGGATCCCGGGAATTGCTTATTGTGTGAAATGGGTATCTTCATTTTGAAATTCGGGGGACAATGTCTTAATATCATTTTGAAGAAATTAAAGATTATGGTATCTATAATGGATTTTTTTTTCAGGTTGGTGGTACCAATAACAGCTAAAAGTTAAGATCTTAATTTGGAAAACAAATCTGTTCCTCTATCCAGACGGGTGTGTTTTTCTCTGGGGGAGCTGCTGGAGCCACTTGGGGGAGCTGTTGTGTTGTTGGGTGCGTTCTCTTCACTGCATAGTGCTGCCTGTTAGCCCTGTCTGCTTAACTGTGGTCTCTGGTGGACTGATAGTGGAAAGTCACTGAATTCTGAGCTAGCAATTTATAAGAAATGCTGCTTGTAGTGGCAGAGCAAGGAGATGCTTCATTCAGCAGAAGGAAAATTGGGGGTTGGATACAGCGATGTACAACATCTATTATGTAGCTACTTTTGGCTCTGACAATACAATGCTAATGCAGTCTTAGTGTTCAAGATGTTCCTTTTTTTTCCAAATTTTAAAAATTGTGGTAAAACACATGTGACATAAAGTATATCATCTTAACCATTTTTAAGTGTTCACATCAGTGGTATTAAGTGCATTCATATTGTTGCTCAACCATCACCACTATCCATCTCCAGTACTCTTTTTCATCTTACAAAACAGAAACTTAAATGCACCAAATAATAACCTCCCCCTTTCCCCTCAGCCCCTGGCACCATTCTACATTGTGTCTCTGTAAACTTGACTCTAAGTACTTAATATAAGTGGAATCATGCAGTATTTTGTCTCTTGGTGACTGATTTACTTGTTAACGTAAAAAAACCATTGAAACCTGTAAAGAATTTTTGTGAGTTTATTTGAGCCAAACTGTCGACATATGCCAGGAAGCAGAACCTCAATGAATTGAGATAATGCTTTGGAGAATGGCCGGTTACATTTGTATTTATTCATTGCAACCAGAGGAGGGATGTAGGTGGGTTACATGAAATTCATTGGTGATAGATTAAGGAGATGGGATAAAGCAAAGTGAGGGTGGGGGTGGGTGGGTGGGGGGAGCGGGAACCCCTGGGATTGGATAAAAAGTAAAATGATGGACCCATACTTAGGTGGGTGCAGGAACAATTAACATGATAATGAAGGAATTTGTGGTGTCTGTCCTGGTGCCCAGCACATTTGGTTGTGCCCCAGGGGCTCCAGAAAAAGGGAAGTTACAAGCTACCCAAACATTTCAAGGGTATGTTATCATAGATGCAAAAAGACAGGTAGGCTCAGTTAAGGTAAAGGTTGACCTTGTCAGTGAAGATACCGGCCTAGGACTAGGACGTAACTGCCCACTATAACTGCTTTTAGTTAAAGTTTAATTTCAGACCATCCTTTGTGGTTAGGTTAGGTCTCTCTCTGAGTTTGCAAGACTGCCATGCAGGCCTCCCCTGAACTTGTCAGGTTCAACATGTGGCCCCTTTCGTCCACATACTCCACTTAGCATAATGTCCTCAAGGTTCATGTTATAGCATGTCAGAATTTCCTTCCTTTTTAAGATGAATAATATCCCATTGTATGTATGTAACACATTTTGTGTTGCTTTCTTTTTAAATAGGGATTCCTAGACTGTTTCTTGAGCCATTTATAGTAATTCCGAAAGCCTAACAAATTGACATGCATTAAGACTACCTTGGCCCACAGAATCCTCGGGCTCCTTTGACTTTGGGCTATAATTCTAGCCACCTCTGAGTGATGGACAAAAGCTAGCACATGCTGTCAGCGGCTCTATTCTAAGTGTTTAAAATTAGGGAAATGAATTACATTATAATGCAGCTTGGCCTGAGCCTTTTAAGTCATTGAGGAACAACCAACATACGGAAAGGGCAAGTCCCTGAGACTGCCAGGGGATGGAAAGACGAGAACATCTGGACACAATAGTGCCCAGAACACATTTTGGTAATGAAACAGGAATTTTGGGGGGTGAAAAAGACAGGTTTTAGGAAATTTTAGAAATTTTGGAAATTAAGGGGACCATGGAGGAAGCACAGGGCTGCAGAGCAGCAGAAGGCATATTTCCATAGAATGAGGGAGCTGAAAAGCTGCAACAGGTACATTTCCATAGAATGAGGGAGCTGGGAACAGCAAAAGGTCTATATTTACAAAATAAAGAGAAGGAAACCCTTCATCCAGAAGGAGGTGAAGAAAGCCCAAAGGGAATAGGAGAACAATAAGGAAGGAGGTGGACATGTGAGGTTCTACCTTTGAGCTCAGAAGTTACTATAGTAACCAGTCAAGGGAATAGTGGCCAATCAGAGGGGATATCAAGGCACAAGGATCTGTAGACTTTGTAAGCCATAGGGAAAAGGAATTCAGTGGGATCCTTTCCCCCTCCCCAAGTGGGAGTCTGTATTTGTTCTTTAATAAATTTCCACCTTTACTATACAATCTTCTGTCCGTGGATTCATTCTTTGACTCCGCAGACAAAGAATCCGGGTTCCAGTCCAAAAATTCCGTTTCAGTAAAAGAGTAGTTGAGGAGAGATCTGTTCCTGGGAGAGGTGAAACATGCCATAACTGTCCCAGGTGCTAATGTCCTCAGAGGAAGAATTAAAAAAGACATTCTGAAATCATGCAGTGTTGGCATCAAGTTAAAATGTTGAAAAGGTCTACAAAGCTGGCTTCATTCAACAGAAAATACGGTATGTGGAGTCCTATGTCCATGATCCCCTTACAGCTGCCCTTGGGGAGCTTGAGCTGCAACGCTAGGACTTCCCAAACTTACCCCACTTAACTCCCGTCTTCCAGGCTGGGAGCTTGCCTGACCTGGGTTCCACTGCTGGCCCTGCATTTTACCAGTTGTGAGAATGTGGGAGACCCAATTTCTCTGCATCTCATTTTTCTTATGTGTAAATGACTATGAGTATGATCCATCAAATAGGATGATTAAATGAGAAGAATGATCCACAGTGCTTATTCTCAATAATTTTAGAGAAGTAGGTTTCTTAATCAACAATCTAATGAATTTACTCTTTGCCCCATTCACACAAGAGGAAAATGAAGCTTAAACCACTTAGCTTCTAAGTGAAGGAGCTGGGATTTAACTCTAGGTCTCTGACTTACTAGTGTCACATAGATGGACTATTGAGTATTTGGTGTGAGGGCAAGGGGAGGGTGTCACAGCATTAGCGGTCCCACAATAGAGCTTTTAAAGAGAACACAATTCCGAGAAGTGCCACTCAACCATGTGGTGTACTTCAGGCATGACATAGCTAGTTTGAGGTTTGAAGTCCTGCAGAAGGAATTGGTTTCTCTGTTTCAGTCCTGAGCTTTGTTCATTGTGTGGGACTCCTGCGGTGGTAGAGAAAGCACAATGTTATTCATTCAACAAACATATACTGATTATTGTGTGCCTTGCCCTTCTATTGGGGTTTTACAAATGACCTGGCCTGGTCTCTTACAGCTTAAAAGGGCTGGACATTTGGATGCTAGGATCTTAGTCCTGCCTGGGGCTACAAGTTCTAAATAGCTGTGTGATTATGGAGAAATCAGACAGGAAATTATCTCAAGGCCCCCTCAACTATTAGTGAAATCGATAGTTGGGACCACAGTTTAAGAACTGGTATGCTCATACTGTGTGGGCAGTGGTGCCAGGGATTGCAAAACTGGCACTTTCCCCTCCCCCTAACCCCCAAGAAGTCCATACTATATGACCCCCTGTCAGACAGCAAAGCCAGCGAACCCTGGGATGCCTCAGCTGGAGTGCTGAG